ATTTCATTGCATTTTGGTTAGTTTTAACTTGTTTGATCAGCATCAGTCAGACATTACACCATTTTAAATATATCTTAATTGTAGAGCACTCTTTTACATATTTTGTGAAATATTTGGGAAGATACGTATTGAATTAAAAGTACGAAGTCCCCTCGGCAATGATAGTTAAATAGGACTGTGTTCAAATACACTGAAACTACATTATGCAGTATTTGCAGTAGTGGTTGAAGCTGAACCGTATTGTGGAAAAGGGGCCAAGAATCTTTCATTTATTTGAAGTGTAAACCATGATTGAAAATGTGAAGCAAGAATTTTCGAATTGCTAAAACAATTTTAAGAATTTTGTTAAAGAAATTTTTGTGTTATTGATGTAATTTGCTTTTTAAGATAGAAATAACTATAATGAATATATATTGTTACAGGTGGAGAAATTAGTTGTTGATACATTTAAACCAGATATGGAGATTGGGGAATATGAAGCACCTAAACCTCAAAGACAACCTAAGGTAGAACACATCAGACACTATCTTTTTATCGAACATTTTACAAACTCGCTGGTACCTTCTAGAATGGAATGTTACAAGTCTAGTGCCAACAGAATATAAGATCTCCACCAATCACTGGTTTGATTATGTCCCAATTGCAATTGCCCCTTATCTGTTAATAGGCAGAACTGACAGGGACTACATTTCATTTTTCTTAAATTTAGAAACTTCTCGACTCAATTCTTCATAACTGCCTAAAATGATCTCATATGTACATTTGTTGTTTGTGATGTCTGTATACTGTGTCTTGTCCGTAGGTTTGTCTTGTATAATTGTTGTGCAGTACCCTGCACTTACTATTAAAGAAAGTCGGAACTACCAAGCCATGTCAAAACTAAGAATCTAAATCTGTTTAAATATTTCAAGATCATCCGTCCGTCGTCCGCAATTTCCTCTGAACACTCTACAGACTGTATAATCTGATTGCTTTGAAATAGATATGTCGTTTACATTAGTAAAACGAAGAAGCCTATTGAATTTCAACAATTTCCGTTTATTACTTCTAGAGTTGTGGCCCTTGTTTCACTTTATTGAACCTTGTGAACGCTCTAACGACAAAAGTTTTAATCAGATTTGAATGAAAATCATATGCATCATTTAGATTAGTGGAACGAAGAAGCACAATTTCCGTTTATTGCTTCTAAAGGTATGGCCCTTGCTTCAGTTTGTTATTCTCCGATCTGTATGAAATTTATATGCATCATTTGAATTAGTGAAACAAAGTTCTTTTGAATTTCAGCAATTTCCGTCAATTTTAGATTTTTTTTTACTTTGTTCAACCATGTGAACGTCTGAATGATAAAAGTTATTGTCTGATCTGTATGAAATTTATATGCATTATTCAAATTAGTAAAACGAAAAAGTCTGAATTTCAACAAGTTCTGTACATTACTTCCTGAGTTAAGGCCCTTGTTCCAGTTTGTAGAAACTTGTGAACCCTTAAATGACGAAAATTATCTTATCTGTATGAAATTGTCTTGTAAATGCTCCCAATTGCCCACAAAAGAATAAATATGTGACATCCCTTGTTGACACGGATGAATCGGCTGCTGTAGGTGTATGCTTCGTTGCCTGGCAACTCATGTCTTTTTCTTTCTTTTTTTTTTTTTTTTTTTTTAAAGAAAGGAGAATTGTGTGGCATTGATTATGTAATTCCTACTTTTATTTCTCTACAGTCAACCCGTATTATTAAAACTAGTAAAGAATCAACAGGTATAGAGGAAAGTGAGAAAAAACCTGATGTAAAAGATCAGTTGCGTAGAACAACTACTATTGAAAAATCTGAACCAATACAGATGCCAGCTACTTATAAAGATTCTTTATTTGGCAAGGTAAATGACTTTGAAAATTATTTTCTAACCTACTTGCCATGGCTTATAATTCCTATAATAGTCAATCGATTTGCTGATGTAAGTCATATGATCAGCTTAAGATAACCTAAATGAATATTAAAAATTGATATTTTCTGTCACTTGTTACGAATAAATGAATTTCGTTCTGTTAATTTAATGCAGGATAAAAAAAAAAAGCTTTGACCTTTATTTTCAGGGTGATAATTCTATGAATTTAGACTTTAAATTTGATGCATCTTTGAGTAATATAACTGAAGAAAGAAGTGAATCATTAGAGATGACAAGTACTGAAATGAGTAAACCAGTAGTATCTAGTAATGATTCTATAACTAGTCAACCAGTTATTACTACACCAACATCACCTTCTACACAAGATCTTAATCAAAAGATTGCCCTTGTCAAGAAAGTATGGGATTGTGGTACAGTTTATAAGAGAGAAACGTAAGTTTATTATTTTTATACACCCACATGGAAATATGGTCAGATTGCCTCCGTCCATCGTCCATTATTTCTTTTGAACACTCAGGGGGGTTGGATGGCTGAATGGTTAGCGTGCGCGCGCTGTATCATACAGTCATTGAGTCGACTGGCGTGGTTTCGAATCCCCGGTTGTACGTGGCAAGGAGTAGGGTCGCCTGTCCAACCTTGTGGGTTTTCTCCGGGTCTTCCCACTGCTAAAGACCCCTACGCGCAAGCGAATTATGTAAATAAAATTAAACCATGTTAGTCCCGAAATGACCTAGTTTGTGTCGAGTGGACGTTAAACCCCATTTCTCTCTCTCTCTTTTGAACACTCTACAGACTACATTTATTATCTGATCATTTTGAAATATTTAAATTAGTAAAACGAAGAAGCCTATTCAATTTAAGCCCTTGTTTCACTTTATTGATCCTTGTGAACACTCAATCGAGTATGAAATTTATATGCATTATTTAGATCAGTAAAACGAAGAATCCTATTGAATTTCAGCAATTTCTGGAGTTATGGCCCCTGTGAAACCTCTTATGACGAAATTTGTCATCAAATCTGTATTAGATTTATATGGATTATGTAGATTAGTGAAACAAAGAATTCTATTTAATTTTAGCAGTTTCTGTTAAATAACTTTCACTTTTTTGAACCCCTTGTGAATGCTCTAATGGCAACAGTTATCATCTGATCTGTATTAAATTTATATATTTACATTAGAAAATGAAGAAGCCAATTGAGTTTTAGCGATTTCCATTACTGACTTATAGAATTTTGGTCCTTTTTCACTTTGTTGCAGCCCTTGTGAACAAAAATTATCATTTGATCTGTATGAAATTGATATCGGTGTCTTGTAAAAACTCCAATAAATATGTGACAACTCTTGTCTGCTCGGACGATTTAGCTGATTTGGGTGTATGTTTCATTGCCTGGCAACCTATCTTTATATGTTAACATAAACCCAAGCTTGGTCGGATTGGTCGTCAAATTATATACAGTTAGACCTGCATGGCTTGTGTCAGGTGGAATACAAACAGATCATCATTGTCTTTCGTGTTATGGAGATGATAATTACATCATTTTGCTTGAACTACAATCTAGCAACCCTGTAAATCTTTTGCATTTTTACAATTTTATTATTTATTTCATTTGCATAGTGCAATAATTGTTTTTTTTAATTAATCTGATCCAAGCTTTAAATAACTTAATACTGTCTTTATTAAATGTCTTGTAATAATTTAAAAATTTTGCATTGTAGAATACATGAGACTTCACAGCTTACTCCACGACAGACAATCTCGTCACATATGGAAGATAACCTAAGTAACAATAACAATTCGTTCACAGCTTTTTCTACAAGTGAAGTGGAGAGATCATTAACACCAGTGTCTAATGTAATGGATAATGTGATCTCCAGTAGAAATGATTTGAATGGTTTCCGCAGTGACAACAGTTACTCGCCAGGACAGTCAACACTGTCTCCAAGACATTCAGATTATCTCAATTTCTCCACAGCTCAGATGGATATGAAAATGTCTGATGTCGAAACCAAGTCGACATTTATGTCTGAAGCTAGTAACGTCTGTAAAGTAAGTTGTAATTATTTACTCCCATCTCAATGATTTCAATATTAACTTCCACAGTTTTTGTTGTTATAGTTTAATTGAGCATACGTTTTGATGCACGGCAACCAACGTTTCTTTATTTCTTGCAGACTAACAGTCATCAGTTTATCCATTATATGACAACGGTATCATAATGTTTTATTTCGTAATGTTTTATTTTGTTTAGGTTAAGCCTCAACAGTTTCAACATTTAGATTTTATTATGTCTAATACAAGTAACCTGATGTCTAATATGTCTGCTGTACCTAGTCCACCAGTAGTTGTACAGAATCAACCATTTCAAACAATACAACTTGGTACACAGTTACTAACACCAGAATCTAGGGTATGTAATATTTCTCATTCACATGATAGGTGGCAAAATCACCCATCGTTAGAATACATTTTAGGATATATATTATTGTGCACTTTTAACACGCTAAACTCTTTACACTTATTGCGCTGCAAAAAGTCTAATGACCATAAGACTAGATACAATTTTAGCCACAAAAAAATCCCTAGGTAATAAATCTTATGGAATGACAGAAAGACAATTTATCTCTCATGACACTGTTTAAACCTCATTCCAGTTTATTAGTTATTGGTGTATTGCAAGCATTCTGAATGAAATGATTTTATTCTTCAATAATTATAAAAATATACCCTTTCTTTCAGTTTCCACAGCAGAATTTTGGTTTCAGCTTGTCTCAAACTCAACCCCCGACTCAGCTTGGACAGTCATCATTCTCTCAACAAAGTATGTTTCTGCCAACACCAAATCAACAAGACTTGTATCAGCCATCTCAGTTGGCACCTTACCAACGTAGTCAAGCCTTTAATCAGAGCCCACAACAAAATTATGGTCAAACACAACAAAACTTTAGCCAGAATCCAACACATAATACCATAATGGTGTCATCAACATCCTCATTGATGTCCACATCTATCAAACCACCATCTACTAATACTTATGGTAATATTATAATTTTATTACTATTTAGATATTATAAAAATCAGTTTTTAGTACTAATACTTATGGTAATAATATAATTTTATTACTATTTATATATTTTAAAAAAATCAGTTTTTAGTAGGGTTTACTCCAAGGATAAAAGTTAGCTTCAATCTTGGTCTGACTGGTTCAGCAACTTTTCTGGAGTGAGAATTGAGCCGGTTTATATGTTTTTTTTAATATGGTTTCAGCATTTACACTATATACATGTACTTCTTAACTATTTAGTTTCATAACCACCAGTGAAAAAGCTTTTTTTTTATAGTCAACAAATGGGTATGATTGTGAATTATTACTTTTTTCTACAGGTTCTCTACAGAAGAATTTGACATCAGGTTCTGTACAGTTTAATCAAGGTTTAAATAATTCATCAGTTCAACCATCACAGATGTTTATACAATATGAACCATCACTGTTTAACAGTAGTCAGTTATTGGCTTCCAATCCAACAAATTCACAAAATGTGAATCCATCGCAGTTGATGAGTTCACATATTGTTCAACCAAGGTATATTTTGCTTACTTTTCGAGCCAAATAATCTAATAGGAAAACCCATCAAAATTTTCCATGAAACAGGGCCCAATATTAAGTGAGATGACTATTTCTGTTTCATTAACTCTATTTTAATCTTTAAAACAAACCAAACAAATCTTTGGACAAAATCCACAGCATTTTTCACTAAAACTCAGAGATTTTTACCTCCAAGATCTGATGTATGATTTTCACAAACTATTTAGTGCAATTAACAAAATTGAATTAGCACTCAACAGATGACAATTATGAAATGCAAATATTTAGAGCGTGTGTGTTCATGTCCACATGACCCATGTGGTCCTTCTATCTTAAGCTTTTAGGAAAGAATTTGTTGCTCTGTGCATGCATCCATTACTTTTGAGGTTAACGACTATAGTCACCCTTGGTATACATTGCTTTAAAGGGTGGCAGTGTAAGATTTGTTAGGTCATCAATAAAAGTGGGATTATTAAAGATTGAATTCAATAGTAAGAAAATCTATTTGCCATTTTGAAAGTATCTTAATTAAAATATTGATCTGTTAATATATCATTAGATTTGTTTAATGGGGTAAATAATTGTATTGTATTTTATATCAGTGACTAATAATTGTGATAATTACTTACAACTATTACTTAAGCAAGAAAAGTTAACAACATAGAATTTTAGGAACTCATTATTGCCAACCCCAAATGCATACTGAAAGATTTGTATATATCTGAAAAAGTATCACACAGCTTCAGATAATTGTACAGGACTAGTATAAATTTTTGAGATTTATCCCGTTCTACCCCCTAAAAGAGATTAAGACTTTTCTGTTTATGCATTACATTAAAAAAACACAACCCCCCCCCCCTCCTAAATAATGTTTATAAATTTTTGTGTGTTTTTGTAATATAGAGGTTTTGATTAGAATTTATCTTATTGTAAATTATAGAAATGCTGTACAAAATGTTCAGTCTGTTCAACCTTCAACATACTTTCCTCAGTCACAACCAACTCTACCACAGACTGGATATTACCCATCTCAAGCACAGCCTACATCCGCCTTACAGGTAATAAACATATTATAATTAATTATTGAAGTAATCACTAGCGGTGCAAATAGAGGCGTTACTGACAAGATGTAATGGATATCACTGGTACTAGTAATTAGATTTGCCTATAGGGATGACCATTCTGTTGCCTCTTAATTTCCCAATCTTCATCATGAAGACAATCTGATTAAAATACAGATCTATATTTCGTTTTGTTTTTTATTCCACGCCGAATGTAGTTAGGGAGTGATATTGAAATGGAGTCCGTCCCGATTTCGTTTCCGGAGCATATCTCATAAATCGTTTATGATGTCTTTCTGAAACTTAGCACACCCCACATTAACTTATTACAGTAGTTGTGCCTTTTGCTATTTAGGAATTTCTGGGATTTATATTTTGTGTTTCCATGGAAACAAATTTGACTTAGTTTTTGGTGTTCAATTTAATTTTTTTTCTGGAGCATATCTCATAAACCATTTAAGATATCTTCATGAAACGTGGGTTATATAACAACTCTTTCAGATCCTAGTTTAGTAAAGACAAGTAAAACGAAATTTTGAACTAAAAAAGAAAATAGGATCTGTGTTTTAATCAGATTGTTATAAAGATATTTGTAGGGATATTTTTATTCAAGAAACATAGGAGGTATTAAATATTTGCTAGAGAATGATTCTATAGCATCTTTACTGTTGCATTATAATTGTAAGTTACTTTGTTTTGTTTATCAGGGTGCACTTCAACAAGTTGCAGCTACAGCACCACAATTCTCATTACATGCATTTGGTAATCAAGGTCAAGGACTAGGCTTGACACTGCAGCAATCGGCTTCAAATACAAATCATATGAACTCATCCCAACACATGAGTTTATCTAATACTGCGGGTAATCAACCTACAGCAAATAAACAAAGCTCCCAGTTTAATTCTATTATACAACAACAATCACCTCAAAATAATGCAGTAAGTACCTCTAATGCTTCTTTTATACGCCCACGATTTAATGTCCTCAACTGTAGCTACAATGATCATTCACACTGTTTATTTTGAGACTATTTCCTATAATTTGAATATTTGAGTATCTTGATGATGCTCCCTTATTTCAAAAGAATAAAACTTTAACAGCTTTTTGGACATAACTGGAATATTTTATCTGCCAAAAATGTGATTAAAAAAAAAAAGACAACAATTTTGTAACAATTTTATGTCTCGGGTAGGCCTATTATAAAACAATTACTGATATATAATATATACAATATGATATACAACTTTTTTTTCTTTTTTTTTTAAAAATCTGTCTTTACATAATACATTAGCACAGTTTTGATTTGCTAAGAACAGATTTTATATTTGGTGACTTAGTCATTTGCACATGGTACTACACAATATATTTTCAGTATTTACATGTCAAATATCATCCAATGATTGCCAATTTTCTCTAAATTTGTTTTGCGTGTATAATTTTCAGGTACCATAAAGGGTATCAGAATATGAATCCCTGTTAGGATACGAATTTCAATTATATTTGCAAGAGATATTTTACAGTTTTATCATATTTATGGTTCACTTTTAGAGCTTTTAGTCCACGGTATTTGCAAGAGATTTTTTACAGTTTTATCATATTTGTGGTTCACAGTAATATGAGAGAGGGAGAGAAATGGGGTTTAATGTCCATTCGACACAAACTAGGTCATTTCGGGACTAACATATAGTTGAATTTTATTTCAATAATTTGCTTGCGCGTAGGGGTCTTTAGCAGTGGGAGGGAACCGTAGGACCCAGAGAAAACCCACAAGGTTGGACAGTAGACCCTTCTTGCCAAAATGAAATTTTAATCGCCACTTCCATATTTTTATTGCAAATTGTGACTTTGTCAACCGACAGCATTGGGCCCTGTTGATAATTAAATTGTTTATGGGTATGGCTTGATTATAAACATTTTTTCAAATTTCTTGCAGATGAAATCCCCATCTCAAAATATGACACCAAATAGCATGTTGACACCAAATAGCATGATGAATACGGCCCTATCGGCTCTCAGTCCGAACTCTAAGGTGTTCACATCACAAGTACAAAACCGACAGCCCCCGAGATTTCCTAATGTAGCTCAGCTACAAGGAAATAAGTATGGTAATACTTTTGTTGCTCAACAATTGTCTGGTGCAGGTATGTATTAATTGTATAACAAGTATAATACAAAGTAGTGCAAATGACCTGTCTTACATTTCTTTACATTGCCATGTGTGTCAAAGTTAAAAAATATTAAACAAAAAATTACATTTTTTTACCTATTTTGAAATTATTTAATGCTTATGTTTTCTACATGGAAAACTGATATATGTACTAAATTCACAAGTATTGTCAGCTTTAGTTTAGATGTTAATTGTTTTCCATGTTGTTTATTTCAGCATCTGTTGTAAGGCCGTCTATTATGGTAGGAAGTATGATGAGATCAAACACGGCTCCACCAACACAACCTACTTTTCCTCCCCCAATACAGAGACCAGGTGTACAACAAAATACAACATTGATTACACAGACTTCCATACCAACACCAGTTATTGTCACACAGACCACTAATCCTTCGATGAAAGCGCTACACGAGAAACAGAGACGAGAGGTTCTAGCACACGCTCAGAGCTTTCTGAACCCACAAAACAAGCCCAGTATCAAGTCGCCACCGAAAGCCGACTCACTGGAAGATAAGAATTTAAGTGATGCTATAAGTAGTATCACAGAAAGCAAGTCGGATAATCAACTTGCTACCACCAAGGAGAAAAATTAGTATGTTGTGAAATTGGAACAGTTTTTTTTTCACTGTGTTTAACATTAAATCTGATATCAGATTATCTAGAAGGTGGATTGAATTATATATAGTTTAGTGTATTTTCTCCTTTTTCAAAGTTTTTTTCTTTTTTGAAGACTGGTATTTATTTGATTAACAAACTATGAATGTTAATATGTGAAGTCATTATGGCCTTGGCTCAACGTACTAAAGGGACCGAAAGAGCATCGGAACAGGACTAGGCACTACTGGAAGATAATTCTACTGACTGCATTTGTTTAATCTGGACTAAAACCTCAAGTGTATAGATTGGACTTGTAAACATTGTGATTATAAATTACATGTTTACAATAAAGGATAATTCAATAAGTTCATCAAAATAAATGAAGTTGTGTAAATTTCCTATTTTATTATTAAGTATATTATATATTAAACCTGTGTGCCAAAATCTTATCATATTCATTGTTGGAGAAAAGCAGTGGTTGAAATTAGGTTTGAAAGATCCAAGATAAACCTAGCCTACATTAATCTCATTACCATACCATCATATTCATAATAGGAACTAATTTCAACCATTGCTTTATACTCTTTTTTTTTCTTCTTTTTCATTCATTTATATTCAGATCATTTTCTTCGCCATTTTTGGGTCAAAACATTATTTTATGTGCGTAGTCAAATGTGATATCCTCAAACTTTGTATTTACCTGTACATATTTTATGAGAAAGCTTTGTACATTATGCATTGATTATTTCACATGATTTCGTAACATAAATTGTGTGAATGGCACCACAGATACAGGTAGTTTATGATATATATATATATGTACACAGAATTATATATATATATATTTAGTATTAGTTCCAGGTTCTATTATGTATGTATTCAGAAGAAAAAATGTGGCTCAGTTTGAAAGAAAATTTAGCTTAAAGCAATGCTCTATGTCCTGTACGTGCCTGTTAACACAAGCCAAAGTGTGGTTTCTGGGAAACTGGTATGGGTAGTTGAGAGATTTATTTTGATGATAATAAGAAAGCCATTTTAAATGGAGGTGGATGTGTAAAGATATAAAGGCCAAATATTGATTATTTTTGACAATGCTTATTCTATTAAAATGTTTTTTAATTGTATGCTGATGACTTGAAACCCTACTTGGACTGTGCCCCCAGTCGTAAGTTGGAAAAGTGGTTATACATTTGTATAGTGATGGTTATTAATTAAAAGGTGACATTGCCCCTCATCTAATTAATTAATAGGACTCATAGTATTGCTGTGTGTTTATATATATATATATATAGTAAATATAGATGTTGTTTCTTTTTTTTTTTTAGCAAAAAGACAAAATTATTTATGTTAATATATTATTTGTGCATGACTTTGTTGTTATACATCATAACTTGAGGTCTGCTGAGAAGAACAAGTATTTCTTCTATTGTGTTTGTGCATACCAGCTAGCCTCGTGGGATAAAAAGGCACAAACGGAAGGACAGTTGATGTCCATTTTAACTTGTGTCTGATTGAAGAGTGTCTTTGTTTATTTGTATGAAAGTTGTTTATAGTGGTTGCGCACGGTGCGAGGCTGATAATGTTTGATGATTTAACATGGTCAACCTTGATAAGGTCTGTGGCTCATATTTGTTTGTATATGAATGAGTGAGTCAGATCAAATGTGCTGTGCCATTTACAGCGGTGTGTAGCTCATTAATAAATGCTTGTACATTTTATTTTATATGGTGTTATTTTTGTTCACTTTTCAAATAATTGAAAAAGATAATTGTAAGTATTTGTAGTGAGTCTTCAGTTTTTACCACAAAATTTGCAAAGTAAATTATTGCTATAATAACAAGTTGAAAAATAAAATGACGTCTATAAAGAAATGTAATGTTTATTTGATTTCTGTGTGAATTGAGGATGGTACATACAACTATTCAGTAGAAGAGCCAAAAGTTTTCATCATAAAAGTTTAAAAACGTATCCACATTAAATAGTCCCCGAATAATGTAAGTGTGGTAACTGCATTTATTTTGATTAAAGATGCATTATGGGAGATAAGATAAAGAGCTGGCAGTTCTCTCTATAATAGTTAAAAACTAGATAATGTAAAGGGAATTTGCTGAAAATTTCAGTCATTAATACTCTGAACCAAGAATTTAGTGATTAAATTTTGGGCCTAGCCTTGATCGTCATTACTAAAGTCGGAACAATAAAAAAAACAACATAAGACTCGATTATCCACCTTTTGATTCAATCATGAATGAGCGTTGAGCAGCAGATCGGATTATAATCCAATAAATAGCTCAGGCTAGCGATGACATCAAGAGTTGATTATGGGCTGGATAAGTTAATTATGTCTAATTAATAATTTAGGTAACATTTCAGGCCTAAAGAAAGACCTGTAATTGGCAGATTTAGCTCTTGCATAAAGTATATTTAAATTTACACTTGTGTAATGACAATTTGTTTATTTAACTCCCTTTAATGTGTAAGCTATGTGAAATGACCCATTCCTTCTGTATTATTATACAAACACTACTTGATTCAAGATTAATATCACTTCAGGATGGTGTATAATAAACACCACTAGCTTCCCAAGACAGCTGTGTCATCACATAGAAGAATTTATCGAATCAATGTTGATATTTAGTTTGTAAAATTAGAAAATTATATATACTTCAGTGGACTATTATATTCAGGGGACGCCTGAACTTCCATTCATATTGATTTTGACGAAACTTGAAATATGGTTGTATCCCAAAGATCTTGGTTCCGTTCCTTTCGATATTGACATGTATCGGACTGCAACTTAATGGACTATTGCCCCAGATTGTACGAAAAATCGCGTTTTTAGCTCGAGTTCGGATTTCGTGACAATTTTACCGAAAATTGCCGTCAAAATTGCAGCTCCCTTTTACACAAATAGTGTAATATGTATAAAATTGTAGACCAAGAGGCTGCAATTTTTGCCCGATTCAGATGAAACTTAATTTTAGTTATGGATCAAAAGATCTTGAATGTGTCTGATTTTGGAGCGCTTCAAAACTCATCTTGTTTAATGCAGCCTGGGTTGTTAATTCACATTAGGGAAATTTATAATGAACACTACTGAAACACTGTATCTTACAGCATGGGGGTTATATCATGTAGGTCAATATTCACTGTGTTATTTTTATACGCCCACATTTTATGCCGTTACCCCGTTCACAATTTGTAGATCGTATACAGGTCACAATTTTGACGAAACTTGAAATGTACGTCTGTCTCCGAAAGATCTCTTCGATATTGGCATTTATCGTACCATAACTTAATGGATTATGGCCCCTGATTGTATGAAAAATCATGTTTTTAGCTTGTGGACACTCTATAGAGGTCACAATTTTCATCCGATTTAGATGAAATTTGAAGTGCATGTTTATAACCCAAAGATCTTGGAGGATATCGAATCGTAACTTCCTGAATTATGACCCCTAATTGTACGAAAAATCGCGTTTTTAGTTTGTGGTCCCTCTAGATGTCACAATTATTATCCAATTGTACGCAAAATCACGCTTTTAGCTTGTGGACCCTCTAGAGGTCACAATTTTTATCCGATTTAAAAAAACGTTTAAATGTATCACCGTTACACCCTAATGACGGTTGAGTTCGAAACTGCCTGACAAAATGGCTGCTCCTTGTATGCAAATATGTAGTGTTAAAGTATGCAATACCAAGTTTGTGGACTCTCTAGAAGTCACAATTTTTATCCAGTTTTGATGAAACTTAAAATGTATCTTTGTATCCCAAATATCTCAGTCCATTTTGATATTCGTGCATTTCAGACCAGAACTTCTTGGATTATAGCCCCAGATTGTAGAAAAATCGCTAAATTTTTTTCTTGTTTGTTCTCTTATCCATCACTTGCCTGGCAATTTTGTTGTGTTCAGTCGACATATCAGGCTGTCCACGATGAATAGCTTGGAGTGACAAAGGCCAGTGTTAAGGAATTTTCTGGGCAAACAGAAGGATCAATGTCCATAACATAATACATAAGATTGAAAAAATGTTTAATTTGGCACTGCCTCATAATTTTATATAGAAAGAAACTAGTCAGTATAATAATTACATACAAATGGGAAAAAATAAACAATTACTACATAAATAATTCTAGAATTGAAATTCACACTAGAAATATGCCATTTTTATAGTCAGAAAATACATGTACATAATAATATATTACCCCATAGATCAACATTATTTTGTTATTGGTAAAAGTACTACACATATTTTCCATGACTGCAATGGATGTTGTTTATCAAAATAAATAGGGGAGGGTCTAAGCTATATAGCATATTGTTTGGTCATGGATGCAAGTTCGATCCCACATTTGTTTGTGATGATTAGTGTTGCTTGTCCAATCTTGTGGTCTTTCTGTGGTTTCCTACCACTTTCCTTATGTGCAACATTTGTTGTCCTAAAATAATCTAGTTAGGCTTGAATGGGCCTTAAACCTGATTTCTTGCTCAATTAAAAAATAAACTAAGACTATTGACTGGATGTGACCAGAACATCTGTCACAAACAAGACTCATATGCAGAAACTGGACAGGTTATGAAAAGCTTTAGAACTTTGGATGTGTTGCCCATTGCTTCAGAATCGGACCAAGCAACTTTTTGATAAACACCATAGCTCAGTCAGTTAGGAATATACAGAGAATCTCCTACAAGTCTTTTTTGATATAAAAAAGGCGAGTAGCAGATTTTATTTATCACCCAATCCTTTCTTACATGCACAAATAAATATATATAATTCTTTGCTGAAGATTTCACTTTTACTGAATCTGATTACATTACGGCGTAGTGATACATCATTTTTTTTGACAGCAATTCAACCATTGCAAAGTCCTTTATATTGACCAAGTGTTTCCATGAAGGTCAATTAAATAACAATAGTTTATTTTTAATAAAAAAAAAGTAACTTTTAATAAGAAATGAACTGTTTTTTTGAAAATAAAAAAAGTAGTTCCTTTTCATCTGACCAATCAAATTCATGTAAAGCGATATCTCACTTAGGAGATATCGCAGTAGATTATGATATATATCACACAAGCGGTATCTACTGTAGAATGTATTATTGGGTGATAAATCATGCTTCATACAATGTGAAAATGCTTTAAAACCTGAACAAAACAAACATTTAATATTTTCAGTCAGACCATTTATAATCAATCTAATTAAACCTAATATGATTTTCGTACCATTTATTATAATAGTCAATATATTAACATGGAAAAACCGTTTCAGAAAAATGTTTTCTGGGCCAGTTTATGTCTTCTATGGTTGCATAACAAATTTGGGCATTCTTTACAAAATTTTTAAGAATTATGAGTCTTGATTGGTTTATAGAGAAATTGTAGTGGAGGAAGTAACCAACCCAGAAATGAACAAAATATTATTATAAATTTAATTACAGGTAGAATGATTTAGGATCTGTCATTCCCTATCAGTTTTTTTTAGGAGTTATACAGAGATTCGTTTATTTCTCAGAAAATATCACATAAAATTAGCAATATATAAATAATATTCTATGCACACAATATAGAATATTTGAGAAAGGTTTGAAGGCACAATATTTCAGATTAAGCGGCAAATATAGACTAGGCACAATTAATGGTACTCTTGAAATACAAGTCTCAAAACTAATCATTTATTTAGAATCATCTTTTCTTTCACACCATGGAGATAAAAAGCAGTGCAAAAAAAGTGCAAATATTTTAGAAATATTCTGGGAACAAATTAAGTACATGTAGTGCAATTTTCTGTATAAATTTGGGTCATTTGCTACTGGAACAGCATATGTAGAGCAAAGAATTGCCAATAGTGGAAAGAGGTTGAAGAGTATTCCAAAGTTCTCCTTAAATAACTAGTATAGATCATATAATTTTTAAAAATTTATACATAATTGTCATAATACTTATTGCAGTAAGCTTACTGTGTGAGAACACCATTTTTAATTAACATTAAGATCGGATCCCATAACTATCAAATTGCATTGTACATTTGCACACTGAGACTTCATTGTAATTATGCAAATTACTAATATTATGAAGCACTGCTACAAATAGTCTAAATACACAGAAATCACAAATAACTTATACAACTAGACTAAGTATAAAAACCATATGACAGTTTTAAACAAGGGCATCGGTACCGCTGCAATATACGTCCACATTTCTGGGGGGTTAGGGCATGCACCAAAATAAATAATAGCTGTCTTTACGGTATAAGAAATAGATATGCAAAGTTCCAAGATGATCCATTCAGAATTGCAGCCTGCAGACGATAAACACTAAAAATTGGACATGGCTTTGCCCCTGAGGGTTGAATATGGAACAATATAAATAGGTACAACCCTATGGTGGATCATGCCGAATTTGATCCAAATCTGTTAATAATTGCAACCTTTAGATCATTTAAAGATAAAATATTAATAAAAAGTGGGTGTGGCACCGTCCAGACGGGGTGGATCATACACCAAAATCAACAGTTGTCGTTCTTAGGCTATAAGTAATACATATGCCAAGTTCCAAGACAATCCATTAAGAATTGTGGCCTGTAGGCAACACACAAAGGAAAAATATGTGTGGCTCTGCCCCTGGGGGTCGGGCATTCACCAAAAACGCTAAGGATCATCCTTGGGGTATAAAGAAGAGGTATGCAAAGTTTCAAAATGACACACAGACACAAAAATTTGGCATGGCTCTGTCTCAGAGGGTTGGGCATGCACCAAATTATAATAATAGAGGTCACATCCTTTGGGAATAAGGAATAAGTATGAAAGGATTTCAAAACGATCCATTAAGAATTGCGACCTGTAGGCGGCACCAAAAACAATAGGGATCATCCTTAGGGTATAAGGAATAAGTATGCAAAGTTTGAAGACAATCCATTAAGAATTGCGCCATGTAGGCGACCCACAGACACACACACATACACACACACAGACAAGGGTGACGGCAATATACGTCCACGTATAAAAAATGATTCACATGATATCGATTATTACAACAAAATAAAAAAATAAAGGAAACAAGAAATTAATGTGTTAAATGTGTCCTATGACCAGCCCCATTAACTTCAATACACATAAAAAACAGTTTTAGAGTAGTTATCCTATAGATCAGTGGAATTATCAAAAAAAACACCCCAGAAAACAGTACAATAATCATGATGGTGATTAATTACACGATAAATCAATTTTATTGACAACAAAACAATGACATTATCTAGAAAATGCTGTCTGAATTATACGAGAGAAAGAGAAATGGGGTTTAATGTCCACTCGACACAAAACAGGTCATTTCAGGACTATCTGAATTATATTTTAATATGACACATTAATTTCTTGTGTTACAAAATTACTATTTAATTTCTTGTATTACAATAGTACCACTCAAATTCTTGTATTACAATAATGCATGTAACACACCTATTGTATTACAACAGTACCTTTATTATATTACAACAGTAATTATATTGCAACTTAATTTCTTGTATTATAATAGTACTATTTAATTTCTTTATTATAATAGTACCACATAATCCATTTAATTTCTTTAATATAATAGTATCACTTAATTTTTTTATTATAATAGTATCACTTGACTTTATTATAATAGTACCACTTAATTTCTTTATTATAATAGTATCACTTAATTTCTTTATTATAATAGTACCACTTAATCCATTTAATTTAACAGTTTCAGATAGTATGATATCCAATCTGATTGAAAATAAATATGTCATGTAAGAGAATGATAAGTATGTGACCCAGGCAATATACTAATCATATCTCTTTAGGCTCTTTAATTTCTTTAAGTAGAGAGATAGCACAGTTGATAGAATCACTGATATCATCAAATATCTGTATACCTTCTTTACTTGCCATATCACTTAAATACATTCGACCACGATTATAATCTTCTAAGGCACTTTCACTGAGCTATAAAAAATACAAACACAACTGATATTTTAATGTGGCTAGTACCCGTGTGTCAAGTGTCAAGTGCAAAGTATGGTATGAATACTGTCTAGGATGATTACCCAATACCAGCTAATACTAACCCAATTACCCAAAACAGCAATTGTGATGAACAATGTCTCGCAATTCCAGTTTCCTCCCTTGATAACTTAATACTAACAAATATTATCCTAATGTTAATAAAAAAACATCTTAATGCTACAAAATAATGACACAATACTACCTAAAAATGAAACACCATAACAATTATTTGAACAAAATATGTTATATTGCAGATAATAGACCATCTATTGCAATATTTTGTTCAAGATACCAACCTTTTCACGCATTCCAGTTTATTGTACAAGTTTGCAAATTTTCCCAGCAATTAACTCTGTTAGTTTTTGATAATAATGAGGTAGTATGTTGTGGTATTTGACAGTATTGGGTTGCTACTGGGCAAATTGTCCGGCCTTACCACTGCAAGGCCATATAAAATAAATTATTGTGTTTATCAGATACTGTACTTGTGTCACACATAGGATGGGATGAACATTAGTTAGCGATCATAAAATAACTTGTATTGAGCTTTGCATCAATTAACAGAAGTAGATTTTAGATACACATTAGTAACATGATACTCAGTAATTATGTAAGTAATTCTTTACAATCTCCATGAATTAATAAATGAAGAGAATGAGATAGATCGAAAACCTTGATGTGATCTTTCTACCATCTCAGATATTTTGGAAGAATTGTATGAGAACCAGAATAAATTTGTTATGGCCTTATTGTGTTATAACTTCCCGGATACATTTTTCATAAAAAAATGAATGATTAAATCAACATGGGATATGGTACTTTATTATAATAAATAAACTTATTGCTTTTTAAAAGGATCTCATTTCCTCTACCATTTGTATGATTATATAGACAGTGATTCATGAATTTACCTTTTCTCCAGCAATAACAGCATCTTTTGTTATATACTGTATACATAACACAACACGACATCCTCTTCCTATATAATAACCCGCCTACAATATATAAAAACAAAACACTAAAAGAGCAGTTCAACTTCTAGGGTTATGAGTTTAAAGGATAATGTGTTTGACTACCAAAGCAGTTAAATTGATGGCCATATTGTGTTTGAATTCAAGTGAGCAACTCAATAACCGAACTGTAAAGAAATAGCCTATTTTGCTGGTCTCATAGTTTCAGCCCAAAATTGCAAAATCTTTCGGCTTATCAAAATAAATATAGCAGTAACACGAAACTAGGCAAAATAGTAAATTATTCACAGGAGATTGCTCATTTAATTTTAAATCATCACAAAAATCTGTACTTTATATTTCAAGAGCTTTGAAAGTAAAAATGAAGTGGAATGTATCTGAATTATGGATAGCTTTGAACAGAGTTTTTTGTTACAATAGTGTCTCATTTCAGAACAAGAGGAGTTTGCGAAATGAAATGAAATGGGGTTTAATGTCCTACTTTTCTACTCCAACTTGGCTAATGAAGATGGACCGGACAGTGGCGCTACAGCCCATTCATATATCAAATTCCTACTGCCAAAGAACCTTTTACGCGCACCCCCAGGTTAACGAGCCCGATTGAACGTTTTACTCACTGAGCCACCATGGCTCCCAAGATGCTAAATACAAATAAATGATGAGGAAGACCAAGGATTCTCAGCTGATATGTTACTGATGTACTTACTTCAACCATGGCAGCAAATGACCTTGTATCACGTGTGAAAACATAGAGCAGCAGACGACATTTCTCTCTAGCAGCCACTTGCATTGGTATCAAATTATATGACCATTCATTAACAATAGGATTTAAATAGGATAACCCATTTCTTCTGTAATATATAATTAATATATCTATTAAATAGGATTAACCCATGTCTTCTGTAATACATAATTATTATATCTATATCCTGAAAAGGATAGATCCATTGGGTTGAACCAAGCTTTTGCCACCAACAAGTATAATCATTGAATGAATCATAGACATAAGAACTGCAACTGTAGTGTTATTATTGTCTTCGTACCAGACCATCTTGTGACCCTACCCATTGAAATCACCAGAAATTGACAAAACTGACTATAGGGCAGTCATCAAGTACATGTACCTGCAACTGAAAGGACTAATCCCAGCACAGATACCTGCCAACATAGTCTTCACTTTAGGGGATGTTGCCTCTTCCTTTTCCACAGCAAAGAAGTTGGCTGTGGAATTTAAGCGTGGCAGAGAGAGCCCCGACGATGACCCGTATCCTGGAAGGCCCCATTCAAGAAAACATTACCCGGGTGCATGACATGGTGATGGCTGATCGATGATTGACTACTCGACATATTGCCCGTGTTGTGAGCACATTATCGCCAACGAGTTAAGGAATGACAAAAGTTCCTGCAAAATGGGTGCCAAAGCTCTTGACGTCCCGTGACGATCTGCACTGTTTTGAAGCAGACCCTGATAATTTTTTGGCCCAATTTATAACCATAGATGAGACCGTTTCCAAAAATTAAAAAGGAACTAGCCAGTAGTCATTTTCCTAGTAAGGATGACGTCATTATTGTGTTTAAAGTGTTGGACATATTAGCTGAATCATTCGGCCGTGTGGGTGGACACACTAGGCAAATCTTTTGCCCGATTCACCAGTCGATTGCATCAATTTCATGTCACATGATTAAACATGGTGGCGACCATGTCTTCAAACAATCGTGTGACTGGATGAGTGGATGATGAGTGATGATTGGCTAATGAATTCTACAATCAGTTGAATGCTTCACCGAAGCGGATACACTAAGCGAATATATCAAAACTGTTTGATTCAGGCGAATCATTCGGCCGAATGACAGTGGACACACTAGGCGAATTTTGACGCCGATTGATTCGGCCAAAAACATTCAGCTAGTGTGTCCACAGCTTTAAGGTTAAATTTGAAATATTCTATATGGCATGTAAACTAACTAAAAGCCGAAGTCATCACCCAGTCCATTTCACTGCCAACATGTCAAGTCCTAATTTGTCTCCTACCTGAGTAAAGGAATCGCCATATTTTTTCTCCATGTTGATACTCCATAACTACCACCAAGATATACATCCCGACATTCACCATCATCAAACACTGGTGGTGGTGGTGGTCTACTTCTAAATTTATCTAAAATCAAATCATTCCACTTTTTATCTACCTGTTTTACAAGAATAGCAGCTAACACCAGTATCATAATTTAGATTTGATCTTTAACTAGTGTATATTTGTATATTAAGGTAGTAACTTACTTATAAAGCTGGTAAAGGGACTAATTAATCGAGACAGAAATGATGAAGTATAGGAAGGTCGCTGTAACAAAAATTAGGATATCTAGATTAATACACATTTTAATATAACAGACTGGTATGAAGTTTATAATAGAAGATGTTGCTTGTGTATACTGTCTTTTTACATATGGACCAAATAAATGTTACATTTTTCGTCATGGTCATTGATTGAATTATTAAGAATTTAGGCTTAAAGCTTCCTGAAATGTCCTTTTGATTTAGTTTCTTACATTCTAGTAATTTGTGACTTTATTTCAGACCATGTTTACAGAAGTAAAATAGCTTACCCTTTTCTTACATTCTGTAACCAGACAACATAAATCTTCGAAAGTAAAGGAAGATACACGAGAATGACTTTGAATCCAATTTGACGGTAAAACTTCACCAGTGATACATTTATATGCCAACTGAACCTAAAACAGATAACAATAAAGTAAGGTTAAATATTCCAGACTGGAAGGACAAATATAGAGATAGAGAGAAATAGGGTTCAATGTCCACTTGACACAAACTAGAACATTTCGGGACTAACATATGGTTCAATTTTATTTCAATAATTCGTTTGCACGTAGGGGTCTTTAGCAGTAGGAGGAAACCAGAGAACCCAGAGGACAGACGACCCTACTCCTTGTCATATACAACTGCCGGGGAATCGAAACCATGCCAGTTGACTCAATGACAGACCTTATGATACAGCGGGATAAATATAGACTTTCAGAGAGAGAAATAGGGTTTAATGTCCACACAACACAATCCTATAAACTAAAGCACATGTGTTAGATATATAACTAGACCATCCAACATCCCATTAATCCTAATCACAGATGTAGTGATATTAAAACTTGACAACATAAATGTATATAAAAGTACTTACATCTTTACGACTCATTTTTTCATTATCACAAGTTATAGAATTAAATGTTTCTCGCAGTTTCCTTTCAATAAAAAAAAAATTATTAAATTAAGTGCATATCAAAAATGGAATCTGTTTTTAAGGAACCCCTTTGCTCCGAAATTTGTAAATGCAAAGTAGTTTTTTTTTAGTAGTCACCAATAAAACTAAAACATAGGGAACTCTGTATGGCAATCTATGAAATATATTGCAATAAATGAAGTACTTATATCATTTTGCAGTATGGTTATTGTACATTATTTTGTGTATTTCTAGTTTTCTAGTTAACTATAAACTTTATACAATACGTACAATAAAGCATGTCCAGTTTCAAAATGTCCGTGTTTTACAGGATTAGCTCCATGATGTTTTTCTAGATCTTGTACTGGTATACCCTGTAACAAACAACAACGCAAATTCTCTTGTACAAACTTCAGTTGGTCCTGCAGTGGAACTTTTGTGACCGCCACCATAATTGGGAAGTACATATTGTAATACATGACCATTACAGCACCTTGGGTAATTTATTTGGACGGCCAATGATGTCGACAATCAAAATATATTTCCACAAGAAATGCAGACGCATAAAATTACAACGCTCATATCCTAATATTCCATAATAAACTGGAAACACAGACCACATAAAATCCATATCGATCCAAAAATTATTAAACACACCAAAACAAGTTATTGCCATCTCTATAGTTTACATTACTTTCTATTGATTCCATGCCACCATCTTTATTTCTTAGGCCAAGATGGTATTTAATCTAATTTGTTTAAAAGTTATCAGTATTCAAGATATTAGGTACAAACCTGATGTACACAGTAGACAACACACTGTAAAGCGTCATTTATATCTGTAAATACAGGTATACTGTTTCTCTCTACTATATCTATTAATACATTTCTTACCCGTATTAAATCACTCTTTTCCCTAAAAATATAACATACTTCTTAGATCTTAATACCACACTTCTCTCTCAACAAATATAACATATATTACACCACACTTCTTTCTATATAAATATAACACATATTATACCTCACTTCTCTCACTTAAATATGACGGGGGAGGGGGGAGGGGGTAGGTGGAATGCACGGTTCGATTTCCTGCTTGTACGTGATATGGAATAGGGTCACCTGTCCAATCATGTAGGTTTTCTCTGGGTCCTCCAGTTTTCTCCCACTGCTAAAGACTCCTACTAGTCCTACGCGCAAGCAAATTATTGAAATAAAATTGTACCATGTGTTAGTCCCGATATGACTTAATTTGTGTCGATTCTCTCTCACTCTAAAAATACAACACACATAAAATAATAAATATACCACACTTGTTACTATATAAATATAACATATTATACTAGACTTCTCTCTACAAAATAAAACATGCCACACTTCGCTTTACAATATAACACATATTATACCACACTTCGCTTTACAAAATAAAACATACTATACCACACTTCCCTCTAAAATATAACACACATTATACCACACTTCTCTCTACAATATAACACATATTATACCACACTTCTCTCTACAATATAACACATATTATACCACACTTTACTCTACAATATAACACATATAATACCACACTTCTTTCAAAAATATAACACATATTTTATACCACACTACCCTCTAAATCATAAAACATTTTATATCAACACTTCTCTCTTTAAAATATAACACATATTATACCACACTTCTCTCTCTAAAATATAACACATATTATACCACACTTCACTCTAAAATATAACATATATTTATACCACAGTTCTCTCTAAAAATTTAACACGTTTATACAACATTTCTTTCTCTAAAATATAACACATATTATACTAAACTTCTCTCTAAAATATAACACATATTATACCACAACTTCTCTCTAAAATATAATATATTTCACATTATATTAAATTCAATAAATATATAACAAACTTTATAGTTATACCAAATAAGACATTTAACATTACACTTCTCTCAAAAAAAAAAGGAATTTGTTTTAAAGAATCAAGAAATTGAAAAAATAAACTTACGCATCTGTTACAGTTTCACCTTTGATAATAATATCTTCATCTATATCGTATTGTTTCATTACAAATATAATCTGGCGATAACATCCTGTAATCAACAGTGTCAATGCCAGATTTCACCAATTAATATATTACGAACATACCAGATGCAATATATTAATATATTGCAATATATGGGATAAAATATGTGAAAATTGTGTAATATTTCATCAAAGTAATGTGCATCTTTAATATAAAAAATGATGAGGAATGAACAAAACAGGTTTGTGAAGTAACAAATGGACTACATTTTACCTAAAACTGTGAATAAAGTGAATAGGCTATTGGTGTGATTGTTCTAAAAATTACTATTAACCAACAATCGTTAGTCAAATCAGTACTGTACCCTGTTACATGTAAAGATACTATTAAAATTTGAAATATTAACAGAGGTGAACAAAACTAAAATCATTTGTTACAGGCTTTGCACGATGTTTGTGATGATGCAAGATTTAAAAGTGTAAAATCGTGGCATGACTTACCGACTAGATATGATGTTTCTATCATAGAAACAACAGCTCGTGTCTGATTGTCTATCACAAAACACAATAAATCTGCGGCCTAAAAAAACACATAAACACTCTTAGAAAATCATTGAATTTGATCGTTAATATTGGTAAATGTTTATCATTATATCTTTGTAGACTGTACTCTGTGCTTATACGTTACAGAAAATTTAACAGTGTCACTGAGCAGCAAATACATGACAAGGGCATGACAAAATAAACAATGGCAGTATATGAAACTTATGATTCTCAAAGGCAATGTTTGGCGACAGAAAACATTCTAACGATGATGCAATACATTAATATTTACCTGTTTAGCCTTATCTTCTAATTCTATTAATTCTGGTCTCCATGTGTTTACCTGCTATGGTAAAACAATAAGTAACGTTTGTAATGTGTTTACCTGCTATGTTAAAACAATAAGTAACGTTTGTAATGTGTTTACCTGCTATGGTAAAACAATAAGTAATGTTTGTAATATGTTTACCTGCTATGGTAAAACAATGATTAACGTTTGTAAAGTGTTTACCTGCTATGGTAAAACAAAGATTAATGTTTGTCAAGTGTTACCTGCTATGGTAAAACAAAGGTTAATGTTTTTCATGTGAAACTGTACTACATGTATATGGCAAAAAATCCATGACTCACCTAGAGTACCCCACAATTTTTATACGTGGCCTAGCCTGACCCATGACCCACCTACAGTGCCCCACAAGTCTTAAGCGTGACCTAGCGTTATCCATGACCAACCTAGAGTGTCCCACTATATTTATGCCTGGCCTAGCATGATCTACTAACCACCTAGAGTGACCACCATTTTTATGTGTGACCTGGAGTTACCAACAATTTTTATGACCAACCTAGAGTTCCCTACAATTTTATGTGTGGCCTAGTCTGACCCATGACCAACCTGCAATGCTCCGCATTTCTTATGTGTGACTCTAGAGGGGTGGAGTGCAATTGTCATGGGTGGTTGTCAGGGGTAGTAGTTGTCTGGGGGTAATTGTCCTAGAACCACTTCCCCGGCCTCAGTGTAATTGATGTGTCCCAACAGGAGTCCAGTTTGTTCAATGGGCTCCCCCTGCACTGGGATCCATGCTAGTGACCATCGGTGCTATGAGCCCATTAGGAGCACAGGAAAACCATTGGAAGCCCTTGTGCACAGTGGAGATTCAGATCGGGTCCCAGGAAGTCTACTGAGAGCTGGGCGCCCAAATGAGCCAATACCATTGGGGTCTGGGAAGTCTTGGAGGCTTGGAGCCCAGGAACCTAATGGGGTCCCTAAATTTATAGTATTTCGATATTTATGGGGTTTTTTTTAGTAATTATAGTGTTGTTTTTTTTCCATACTTAGTGATTTTTCGGTATTCGGAGTTCTTCAGTAATTATAATCAAAGTTTTTTTTTCGGTACTTTTCAGATTTTTGGGGTGTTTAGTATTACCATCATGTGTTTACAATAAAATAAAGATTAATAGGACTGTGATGCATTTACATGCTACTGTAGAGAAAAACATTAATATATGCCATCGCTTAAATGCAGATTTGTAAAACGAAGATTAATAAATGTTATATTTTTACATGCTGTGGTAAAACAATGATTAATATCTGTATTACTTTACATGATACAGCAAAACAATGATTAATATCTGTCATTTCTTTACATGATATAGCAAAACAATGATTAATATCTGTCATGTCCTTACAGGTGAGAAGCATTTATTACATGTGTTTCAAGAGGATTGTATTTTTATAAAGTCCTTTTGTTATTAACCTATTTTTAAGGTTATACCAGCGGTTACCATGCACGATACGCCCACATTTTGCAAGAGATAGATAGAGAACAAGCTAAAAAAAAAAACACGATTTTTTGTACAATTAGGGGCCATAATCCAATAAGTTATGGTCTGAAATACGCTAATATCAAAAGGAACTGAGATCTTTGGGATATAAAAATATATTTTAAGTTTCATCAAAATCGGACAAAAAATTGTGACCTCTAGTGGGTCCACATGCTTTTACACTATTTGCATACAAGGAGTGGCCCTTTTTTGGGCAATCTTCATTATGGTGTAACGGTGATATATTTATATGGTTTTAAAATCGGATTAATATCGTCACCTCTAGAGGGTCCACAAGCTATGAATGTGAATTTTTCTATAATCAGGGGCCATAATCCAGGAAGATATGGTGTGATGTGCACGAATATCGAAAGGAACCTAGGAACCATACTTTAACACTAATATTTGCCTACTATTTCACGAAATTCGAACTGAACCATCACTATGGTGTAACGGTGATATATTCCAACGGCTGTGACCTCTGGAGGGACTACACGCTAAATATGTGCTTTTCGAACAATCAGGGGCAATAATCCAGGAAGTTACTGTCTGATATGCGCGAATAGCAAAAGGAACCGAGATCTTTGGGTTATAAACATTTCAAGTTTCATCAAAATCGGATAAAAATTGTGACCTCTACTAGGGTCTAGAGTGTCCACAAGCTAAAAAACGTAATTTTTCGTACAATCAGGGGCCATAATCCATGAAGTTACAATATGATACATGCCAATATCGAAAGGAACTGAGATCGTTGGGTTATAAACATATATTTCAAGTTTCATCAAAATCGGATAAAAATTTTTAACAGGATCTTTGGGAAATAAAGCTATATATTTAAAATTTCGTCAAAATTGGATAAAAATTGGGGCCTGCAGAGTGTCCACAAACAAATTGTGAACGGAGGTCTGGACAAAAAGGGGCGACAAAATACGTCCACATAAAAATGTTATTATGTTGGTAATATATTGTTAGAATACTTACAGGGTTATAGAATGTTATGACCCGTTTTTTAAGGAATGGTATAGCTATATCATGTCTCCATGTTGTAGGATTACATGATCCACCCAAAAATACTGAAATAATAAAATACAATAACACGAATTGAAAAAAATATTGTGAGATAGGTTGCTAGGCAATGAAACATACGACCACAGTAGCTAATTTGTCCAAGCAGTCGACAAGTGTTGTCACTGTCATATTCATGCTTTTGTAGGTAACAGGAGCATTTACAAGACACGATATCAATTTCATACAGATCGAATAATCACAAGGTTCAACAAAGTCCAAATAAAGGTTATTACTGTAGACGTTATTAACAGAAATTGCTTCAAAAATTCAATAGGCTTCTTTGTTTTACTAATCTTAATAATGCATTTAAATTTAATACAGACTGGATGATAACTTGCTGAAATTCAATAGGGTTCTTCATTTTACTAATCTAAATAATGCATATGAATTTCATACAGATCCGATGATAACAAAGTTAAAAAAAAGTTACATAACTCTAGAAGTTCCAAACGAAAATTCAGTTGGCCTCTTAGTTTAACTTATCTAAATAATACACATAAATTTAATACAGATCCAACAAAGTGAAAAACAGACCATAATTCTAGAAGTGATTAACAGAAATTGTTGAAATCAAATAGGATTCTTCATCTCACTAATGTAAACAATATATATATATTTTAAATGGTCAGATGATAAATGTAGCTTGTAGAGTGTTCAAAAGAAATTGGTGACGTACGGAGGCAATGTCAATATACGACCACATTTCCATGTGGGCGTATAAAAATAATGTACATCGTACTGTTTTAAACTGAAATATTTCAAGAATACCAGATTTATTCTTATTCTTGGCTTACGAAAACAGAAGTTCTGTCCTACGCAACGATGGGATGTAAAAGTGTACAAATTGCACGTTTAAGGTCTGTTAGCTGCTAGAAGTTGCAGCTCGAGTCAAATTTCAACTGTAACTAATTGCATGTAATTGTAAAGCCATAGTAAATAAAGTATACTATGTTTTATTTTGTCATGTCTAGTTTACCTTTAAAGAATATCCAAACAAGCAGAAGAACCATGGCCTATCTTCCTATAAGTTAAACAATAAATTTCAAAAGTTAATTAAAATCAACCTCAGTCATACTATGATAAAGTTGTGATGTTTTAATTTATATAAAACAAGATCTTCTGGTAGTATATTATCATTAATAAACTTACCTTGAGAATTTGACTGACTTTCTGCAATAAACAATATAAAAGACTAAATAAAGCTAAGCCAAAATAAACTGATTTATACTTCAACAACTTCATACTCAATATTATTATTATTATCATCAACATTTTCATAGTGCAAAGTCAAAGATTCCACAAATATGTGCTATGTGTGATTTATAATACAATATTCAAAAAAATATATCGTATCCTGCACAGTCAAATAAAACAAACGGACCATCTAATATTCAACACATGGATAAAATATTCATAATACAGTATAGAAGAATGTAGAAATCACATTTATAAAAACACATTGACAAAAATAATCTGATAAAAGGTCATTTGAAATAGGACTTTTTTCTTGATCACATTTACTAATTTACAAATTCAAGAATTTGTGCCTGCAGCAGTTTTGTACTTAGATACAAGGCTAGTGTCATCAAATCAGGTGTTTTGAAATTTCTACTTCGCTTACAAATAACAAGAATTTCAGACAAATATTGAGTAGTTAAATTAATTATTCTAGCATTTATTTATAACATAAAAAATTATTTTTATGATATTAAAGAAAAGGGAATCAGTGCTGTGTGTATAGAATAGTGGTAATGTAGGATGCAGATTTAGATAAGGTGATAAGTTTGGAGGTAGAGTTCAGAACTTTCTGTAGGTCAACTAGCAGCGAGTAAAATTGTCAAAAGTCTATTACAGAACAGGTATGGTAGTATCATTACCTATATATTTTCAAATTTTTCCTGTATTTCTTAAATAATAAAAACTGTTTTTTCTTACCAACTTATACTTCTATATTAATTATTTATGTGACAAGTCTATGAACATAGTTAAATCTGTTGATTACCCATAAATACAATTTTGTTGATCTAGTTTGATCATCATTCAAATTTTTAGACATTTAGCACTTAATATCAGCAATATATGGTCTGTATTCAAAGTAAATATTAAGTTAAAGTGAGCCAATTAACAATACTTTTTATCATTATTGTCTGAAATCTAAATTCACCTTTTAGCCTGGAATATTGTTCTTTTAACTTTAATAAAATCCTTTAATACAGACCCAGATTTGATTTTCGTATCATGATATTGGATATGGGAGTAAATGAATAGTATATAACTCAAGTGAAAAGATTATCCATATTTGCGAAAAATATTGCCTAGTGGTGTAATGTATTGTAAAGCTTAAAAAGAATAGGACCCAGTACCAATCCCTGAGGAACACCAAAAGTCAAAATTATCTGTGGCAAATTATTGATGACAGCACACTGTGCACTATTTTCTTTAGATACCAAGCTATATGGGCAAGTGCAGATCTAGTTATACCAAAATCTGAACAGCGCCTTTCCACTAAGTTACTGTGATCCACATTATTCAAGACAGTGGATAGATCTAAATCTAACAATATAAAAAAGCAAAAGTTCTATCATCAAGAGATATTTAAGTATTAATTGTCTATGTGGACTTTGGAACTAATCCATGAAATGAATTTTAGAGAGACTACCTATAGTAGTTCTTTTTAATTCAACAGGATTAAGGGATGACTGCTCTTTTGAAAGAAAACACTGACAACTCCAAACGAGCTATGTCACTAAAACAGTGTCAGTAATTAAGATGGGTTGCAAGAATTAATAGAATATGACCTTGAATATTAAGGTTACTGAGTTATCGTATGAAAATAAAATCCAGAAAAACATACAGAACACGCCAACAGTGAGGCTGATGTCCCCCGCCGAAATCCCAAAATAAATAGATGACGCATATTAATTAATCACACAATTATTTATTTCAAAAGAATAGAGCAATCAAACTACACACTAAGTTTCATCACTCTCTATCAGATAGAATCAAGATTATCTTGTCCCAAAGCATCGACCAATGAAATTGATTAGCTCTGCTTAGCTTTAGCTTGAAATGTTAATCACTGAAATCAGTCAAGACATTCACCTAATGAACATCTACATCAGGTTTAAACATTCTACCTCAATTAAAAGCAGAGTTTTTATGTTCCAAAGTCTTGACCAATCAAATTGCTTATCGCTCCTTAGCCCAAGCAGAAAATTTGCACAATTGAATTTAGTCAAGGTAATGATATAATGAATCTATATTTCATCGCTCTCACTTCATTATAACCAAAGTTATCGTGTCCCTAAAGCATTAACCAATCAGATTGCTTATCTCTGCCTATCGTAAGCAGACAATGTTCATCATCGAACTTCATCAAGGGATTCACCTAATGAATGCCTACAACAAGTTTGAACATTCTACCTCAATTAGAATGAGAATTATTGTGTTCCAAAGTCTCGACCAATCAAATTGCTTATTGCTCTGTTTACCCTCAGCAGAAAATGTTCTTTACCAAACTTAGTCATGGTATATATGTAATAAAGCTATACTCCAAGTTTCCTCACTCTCACTTAATTAGGACTATAGTTATCGCGTCCCAAAGCATCAACCAATCAAATTGCTTATCTCTGCTTACCCTAAGCAGAAAATGCTCATCTTCGAACTCCATCAAGGTATTGACCTAATAAACACCTACACCAAGTTTGAACATTCTAGCTCAATTAGAAAGAGAGTTATTGGGTCTCAAAAAGGGTGACGGACAGACAGTCCGACAGACCCATTTTAATAGTCCCCTGCTTTCTTCGAAAGGCGGGGGACAAATAAAAAAACACACCACAGATTACAATTACTCGTATTACCAGTATTTACACAAACAAATAACACTGATTCCCTGGCTAATGCCAGGTAAGGTTCCCACAGTCGTACGATGCGTTACGATAGGATTGTCCCTACTGAGTCCATGATTTGCTACATGCAGACACATTCGGATACGTTTCGATACTGTCAACACGATTGCTACGATAAGACCTGTCAGGATCACCATGATTACTCCATGATTAAAACCGTGATTTCAATCGTAGAACCTAGCATCAGCATCAATGAAACAAGTACCATTGATCTTAAAGGACATTCCGATTTAAGGTCCAGCAGTGATAAAGTAGTGTAATAGTATGTTGACTTTGCAAAAAATTGTGTCAGAATTGTTTGTTTATCCATGACAAAGTTGTATCACCTGTTTAGAAAAGAGTAAGCACCTATTCACAAAGAGAAATTAGGGTGTCACAGACAAATAATCCTTTTATAATGAATCAAACAATTAACATAACATTAAGGATAAAATTACCAAACACAGACTAACCTTTTCTTTTTCTTCTGCTTTCTGTACCATCACATTTCAACTTGACAGCCGAAGAAGGGCATGGTAGGGGTTGACTGGAAGTAAAATATACGTTCATTATAATCCTGTTGTTCCATATGACTGTGTCAGTTATGATAAGTTCATTAAAGATACATTATGTAAGATTTAGATAAAGAGCTGGCCATTCTTGCTATAATAGTTCATAGATAACGTAAAATGAATATATTGAAAATTTCATTTAAATTACTTTATTCTGAGTGAAGATATTAGCCTTTGAAGGTTTGATAAGATGTGTGCGCTGATAGCCTTGCTTCATTATTTTCAGATTAAATTATTAAACGGCTGAACTGTTTTAAACTACTTATAATCAGACCCATCTGTGGGATCGAGACTTGATTATGGTCTTGTCATGCTAATAAATGTCTAATTAATAGTTTATATAACATTTTAGGCCTAAAGAAAGACCTGCAATAGGCAGATTTACCTCTTGCATGATGTACGTTTAATTGGAACTAATATATGTTCATAACAATTCTGGGCATGTGATAAGAAGACATTCTCAATCTCTTAGGTGCCTTGGCTTCAGAGATCTCTATTTTTAAAATGTTTCAACATACATGTAGAAATCTGTTACTATAGAACTTTTTCTATTCAGCTATTAAAGTGATTTTTTAATAACATGAAACTGATTATCTAAAGAGATGGGACCAGGGGTTAGTGAAATGGCAAGATATCATAGATACATGTACGAGAATGATGTAAAGACTACTTAATCGTCCGAGAAAACTCTCCATTTCTTTACATATCTTATAATAAAACTAATCAAAAATCTAACTTTTTAATATAATGATGCTGTAATTCTTCCACTAAAACACAAAATTCACCAAATGTAATATTATTAGCTACGCATGGGCTTCCATACTCTACAGCACAATGGACCATCTGATGAACTGTGAAAAAAATATAAATGTATTCTGTATGAATATTGTACCAGACAATAAATTTCAAAATAAAATACACTTTTTTATCTTCAGCCAGTCAATCTATCAGATGCCAACATTGTCAACAAATCTACAGGTAACTATTTTGAATATACAACTAAATACAAGCTTATGTGTCCGATGGAACTCTGGAAACAAAATTTATCTTATAATTTTCAGCTTTCCTAATAATTATGTCTAAGACAGCTGTGTTTAAATATCTAAATATTGTAAGTGCTCAATAGAATTGGCTGTATCAAGAATTATGGTATGATGATACACATAACAAATCATTACATTGTTGTATATATTACATACCTTATGGCTACTTATAAAACAAAAGCTAATTTCTTTTTGCTGCCTTCGATAGCATAGGTAATAGCCTACTGATTTTTTTGTAGAGATGAATGATATGACAAAGTGGAGGGAAAGGGAAACAGAGGAACTGTAGAAAACACTGGAGGTTAGGAAGATGAATGAATTCCTAGTCACACAGAAATAAAATGAAATGGGGTTTAACGTCCTACTGTTCTGCTCTGACTAGCCCTTGTCACATAGACATTATGATGTAATGCGTATGTGTTACATCACACAGCCACCTCCCCACAGAACAGTGATTAGATATAAATAATAAATTTATATTTACCTTGAGAGTGAGAAGGATATAAATTCAAGTCATGGAAAGCTGACACCACATTACACAGCGATAATTTACCATCTTTAGCATATCTTTCAAATATTTCCAATAAATGTCTAAAATAATTAATATAATAAATAAGCTGTTGATTACATGTGTATTTATATATATATATACCATATGATCTGTAATAACAAAAACTGCAAAGTTCTAATGATCCAGGGTTATTATAGCTAGCATCTTCACAATGTCAGAGGCTGTATTTGTTAAGCATCCTAAAACTTAAGTAACCACTGAAGGCATACAAAATTATAAATATTCCCTTTAAAACTAACTACGTATTTCCGTAGTAATCTTAATAATGGTATTCAATTAAACAGTTATGGGAGAAAACCTATTCTACAAAATCCTATTTAATTCCGAAATTCAGAATATCAAACTAAAATTCAGGGACCGGTAGGCCTACCTTACTGTATCTCTATCACTACTTACTACAAGCCACTCAAATAAGAGGCACACACACACACACACAAAAAAATATATTCTATGGATGTTATCAGTGAAAAATGGGTCTGGCTCAATTGACCTGTCAATTGAAAGGGCACCGACACCTCTCAACTAGAATGTCTTGAGTTTGAATCAAAGTGTGGATCGAGAAGAGCTTTGATGGGGTTTTTTTTAAGACCAGTTCTCACTTGTCAGAGGTGTATATGTATATGCCTGCTGACAAAGAATGTGTGTCTATAATAGTTGTTCGGAAGGTACAACAGAAAATTTATCCACTTCCAGGCAGAATTATTCTACCTCGTATCGCACACTAACTGTAACAATAGAAATAAAGATTACCATATAACGGTATCTGTCTAAAAATGACAGAATATTGAGTTGAATAGGCAAGTTAAATTTCATTCAATATTGCTCATTTAATTCTCTATTATCAAATTGTGGTTAAAAGTGACACCCAAGACCAGTGCCCGTTGTGAATCCAACACGAATCACTTGGGCAAGGCCTTCTTTATGACACACGTATGATCGGGATGTAGTCATAACGGCCCTATGCCATAACGGCCAAAAACAGGTTTGGTCAAAACGGGCCTACTTTAGTCATAACGGCCAAACAGTTTGGTTATAACGGCCTAAAAATTTGGTCATAACGACCAAACATTTTTAATTTAATGAAAAGCAATATATCTGAGCAAATATTGTTGTTGTATGTTGTTGTTTATTACAGATTTAACTTCCAATACATTAGATATGATATTATGGACAGGTTGATTTAATTAAAGAGAGAGAGAGAGAAATGGGGTTTAACGTCCACTCGACACAAACTAGGTCATTTCGGGACTAACATATGGTTTAATTTTATTTCAATAATTTGCTTGCGCATAGGGGTCTTTAGCAGTGGGAGGAAACCGGAGGACCCGGAGAAAACCCACGAGGTTGGACAGGCGACCCTACTCCTTGTCACGTACAACCGGGGATTCGAAACCACGGCAGTTGACTCAATGACAGGCTTTATGATACAGCACGCAAGTGCTAACCATTCGGCCATCCAACCCCCCGATTTAATTAAATTATTTACACTTAATTGGTTGAAAATTGGTAAAAACATACAATACAAACGTCCGTGTATATCAAAAGTCTTCTTAAAATTGGTTAACACACAAAATAATGTCCTTGTATATTAAATAGTCAATTTAAAGCACACTTATAAAATAACTGTCGTGAGAAGGGAGGGGGGGGGGGTCATCTTCTCCCTTTGTTATAATAAAAACATGTTAAAACAGGAGATTCAACTAAATGATGTTTGACACGATCAGTGCGGATAGAAAAAACCCTGTGGGGAAAAAGAATCCGCTTGCGTTACGTGGATGACATAAGCCACTCAAGAGCTGTGGATATTGCCTTTAATTCTGCGGTATGGATGGAGCATCCATCTGGTAGCCTTTTTGATATATTAACATTAAATTCAGGAATAACTACACCACCTTGGCTTCACCAGAATATGTATGGTGTGTGAACCATGTTCAGGTACAACTGTACCAGAGTTTACAGTGGTATATAGTGAGTCGCAGAAAGGAAAAAATAAATTAGGTTAAAATGGATATACATATATGTCAAGAAGTCTTCAACTGAGATACAGGACAATAAAACATCAATTTGGTGCTACTGTTATACAAACCATGTTTCCTGAAGAATTTGCCAGTGGAAAAATAGCCCGTAACCACCCAAGCCAAACGGCAAATTACATGCTGTAATTCAAAGGAAAGAGGTGAGTTCTAATTATTTAACTGATTGGATAATCCCTAATTAGGTACTTCACACCCTCTGATCTGATTAGGTAATATGAGATAAACATTAACCATTTATATTTTATCAAATAAAGGTAAAAGACATGGCCTTCTCCAATCCATTCAGACCAGCCAGGGTAATATTTGACGAAGTAGCGAATAAAATTTTAGAAGAAGATCAGCCAATTTACTTCTGCCACTCCAATCTGCTCTGATGTTTGAGGGGAAACTTCGCAGGTATTTGATAAAAAATAGAACAGAAAGACAAGATGAAATTTTCAATTCGTGGAACGAGTACAAAGAAGGTAGTATCAGTGTGTCGATGCTGCTAGGGATATGTACCAGAGTTCATGTTCCAGTAGTGTAAAAGAGATATACAATGTAATATCTATATGTAATGGATTTCTGTTTTAATCTATTAAATTAATGTATTTATATTATCTATTACGCAATATTTTTGTTAATAAATTTAATTTCCTACATGTAAAAAATGATTTGTTTTGTTAGGGCCGTTATGACCAAATTGTTTGGCCGTTTCGACCAATTTCTTTTGCCGTTTCGACTAAATTTTGGGCTGTTATGACCAAATGTTTTGACCGTTATGGTTTAGGGCCGTTATGTCTATGATCAGCCTACCGGAATATTAATTATATAAATAATAATATTGCTGTTAAATTATGATTTTTAATTATAATAATAATAATAATATCTTTATTTTCAAATTAGGCTTAGAGCCTGTTTACAATTTTGCCCTTTATAACAAAGAAATGAAAAAGACAGTAATAGAACAAGACACTTAACAAATACTCACACACAAAACATTCAAATATATATTGATAAGCTAAATAGTTTAACTTTAAAACTAAAAGTAATATGATAGATAATATGTAGTAAGTAGTTGATATATTAAATATAGGCTACAGGTTAAGAAGAAGAAATAACATGCCTAGTGATATTTTTCTTAAATAAATGAAGATTTTTAATATTTTTAAGTGAATATGGGAGAGAATTCCAAAGCACTGTGCCTCTATATTGTAAACTACATTTAAATATTTAATTATTAGGTCTACAGATAGAAAGTCTATTATTGAGAGATGAATATGTAGTGGTGTAATTCTACTGAAATTAGAACAATGCCCGGTGCCTGTATTGCTAATGTAATTGACTATATTGACTATTGCCATTTTTCTAATACAGTATTAAATATTATTTTTCTAATTGGCTCCAATGATTCAAGTAATTCCCCCTATATAGACTACACAAGATCCCAATATAAATCCCTTATAGAAAAGTGTCATCTTATATTCCCCAATGCAGTCATTAAATTCATCAAGCTTCTACCAAGAAAATCCAACAAAGTAAATAGTGTCATAAACAGAATTAACAACATTCTTTATGATGTTTGTAAACAATATACCAATGTTATTTTCTTAGATCATTATGCTCTATTTTATGATATTCCTGCTCAATTCTATAAAATTCACTTGTATCAAAGTTCCACACATTTAAATGCCACCGGTTGTAGATTACTAAGTGCTTTTATTTGTAATAATCTTCCTAAAGTTAAGCACCATAGTGGTTACTATTCAAGATTCTTTTAACATGTCACAGCCATGTAGCAGTCCTAATATTTTACATGTTATAAAATATTATAAGGATCTCTAAATAAAAGAAACAAAGCTGTCTCACCTAGTATATGGTCCAAATATTCTTGGTTTCTCGGAAGTGTCTGTAACACTTTCCTCCACAACGCTGTTATTGCCATTGGCATAAGAAGATTCAGACATTGTTGGCAATTGTCGATTTCTTTTTCCCGGCGATAACAAGCAACCCGACATAATTAAGCCTACCAGTTTTCATCAAATACAAGATGTCGATAATTTAAAAGTGCTAGCAAATAAATCGAAGCCATTGCGAAACATCTTTTCTATTTTAGTCGCAAGCTTAGCTTATTATACCGACCTACCCAAATCTAGGCAGGTCAAATTTAATTTTGACCGGAACATAAACATAGTCTTGGTTGATCAGGCATAATACTCTCGATCAACCAGATCATGAATAATGATGTACATGACAGTGCGCCAATGATATTTTTTCCACCAATATACATTATGCCACCGGAGAACAGGGCCGACTATTTACCGGTTTTTACCGAACCTAACTTGGACATAGAAGTATATCCATTCCCTTAGTTTAATAGGAAACTTTTCATAAAAGGATGGTCAAGAGAAAGCAATTTTTTTCCCCGAAAATTAACTTTTAAAATAATATACTCTTCAAAAAAAGCAGGGGATATTGAAATGCAAATACCTATGCAGTTTGTGATATGATAAATAGTCATCAGGGGCGTTTTACGGTTTATCATGACGAAGGCTAAACTATTTTGATTTTGAGGGCCCTCTTCCGCGGGGGGGGGGGGGGGGTCTCTACCCCCGGCCACCGGAGGTCGAGAAAATTTTGCAAAATAGAAAACATTTTGGTGCATTCTGACATATCCCCAGGCCCCTCGAGGCCGGTTTAATCTGAGGGCCGGGGCCCAATTCGATACCCAGCAAAGAAATATTCGCTCCGCCAGGCCAGGTCACACTAGGCGGCCTAGCCATCTCTTTCCTGAATAGCTTATTAGTAGTTTTTCAGAAAAGGTGATTTCTTGATTGATGATTTTCATGCCAATGCAATGACTGCATTCTCATTTAATAGTGGATTCGACAGTAACAGTGTATAGAAAACGATTGATTCGGACTCGGGGGCTCTTCCCATGGCCAGAGGTGCCCCTTTGTCAGACGTGGATCCCCTTTGTCTGCCTTTAGGGCCCTCCCTAACTAGGGTACATTTTCATTTTTCTCATCGGTTTTAACATTTTTCTCCCTTTTAATTTTTTCAACTTCTTTGACTTTTATCGCGAGGAGGCTGGCGCCTCCAGCGCCTCAGCTATAAAACGCTTTTGATAGTCATGGACACTTGACATGCTTTGAGAGTATATGTTCACAAATGAAGACCTTATCGCCCCAACAGAACCACTGAGCTGCATCAATCTGATTAAAACACAGATCCAATTTCGTTTCGTTTTTATAGTTCAAAATTTCGATTTTACTTGTCTTTACTACAGTTGGTGTAGGCCATCGAAAGTATAAAAAACGAAACGAAATATAGATCTATATTTTAATTAGATTGGATCTGCATGTGCGACACGCAATAGCGCCATACACTTGGGAGGGGTTGATTGTCAAATTTGACACTTCAAGTCAGGGTTGGTGAAAACTGCCGCTTGCTGGTTTATCCTATCCATGTTTACTTTCCTATCAGTTGTTGCATAAGATTTACTGTTTAGCGTACCTTTGCTTTAGTGTGTTACACGTTTAATTTGATCGGGAGACGTGTTCGTCAACGTCAAACGACACCACTGCAAGAATTGGCCGTGGAACTGCAAGAGGAGTGGGTCAGATTGCCCCAAATCGTGATTGGACGGTTGATTAGGAGCATGCCACGACGAATTGCTGAATGTTTGAGGATTGGTGGAGCAATTACTCATTATTAAGACAAAAATCAAAAGCGTCCATTTTCACTTTTGACAGTGTATCTCTTTGCGAGTGAAATAGGACCGTCAGATAAGCCGCCCATATGAACTGTTTATGTTCATGTGTAGGCAATTGGCCTGTTATTAACATACACTGGTTACCTCTAATAAAAACAGCAGTGCATTTCCGCTGTTTTGTATTGTTTCTGAATATCCCCAACTTTTTTTGAAGAGTATATTATGGATCCTACAAAGTCCTTGATAAAATGTGTAAAATATGTTGTATTTTAATTGTTATCATTTCCCGTGGCGGGATATTTATAGTTTTAATTCTGATAAAATTTTATAACAATTAATATAAACTTCAGATATAATTTTAATTAAACTGGCCATAAAACAACGAAAGAGTCCGACATTTCGGATTATGTCTTATCAAGTAGGCCCATAAAACCTGAGATTTTGCGTGGTTTTGACTTTCAATATTAATTACCTATTACTACCCCCCCCCCCGAAAAAAAAAGAAACTAATTAATTTATTGAAAATAAGCATAGCTATCATATCCTTACTTTTGTGGCATTCATTTACGGGCTGGTGTAAATACAGCTTTTCCCAGTTAATTATAATAATTTTTGATAAATTGAGTTACAAATGTTGTTTTTTCCATAGATAAAGTTTTTTTACACCATTCCTTTCTATACATATCCGCGAATGTATTCTTCTTTATGTACATAATAATAGGCAATGCATTTATTTATTTATAGGCAATGCATTTCTTGATTTTGGGAGTGGAAGGTGTTGTTGTTCTAGCTGTTGTTAGTTACGACATTGTTTTTATATATTCAAAAAGAATTTGCAGAAATTTGTACGTCATGAAGTAAGTAGACGTATAGAATACTGTTTGACTGACGTATATTATTTTACTTATAAATACTATATATATATATATATATATATATAGTATAGTATACTGTACTGATTGACTAACGTATAGGTGATTATAGTTGTAACAATAAGCGAATTTATTAACATTCATAGATTAATTCATGGGATTATTTCGAGGTTAGACACACACTGAATAAACCATTGTATCTCAGTTCAACTTCTGTCTATATCATTCAGTATAGTTCTGAAGATAACATAACACAAATTGGAATCATGGTCATAATTGGACATTTTTGTTGACCTTCGTCCTTTTAATTAAATTGTGTGTTTGACGTATTAAATAATAATCGTGTCCATTTAGCAAAGATTAAAGATAAGTATTTATTAGCAACTTTAAGAGGACGCTTTTGAAAGAGAGATAGTTCCGTCGAGAAGAAAGAACGAATCTTGCATTAAGAAGCTATTCTTCTATTTTCTTTCATTTTAAAAGTAACTATAAGCTGAACGAATTCTGTAAAAATTAATATATTCTATAAATACGTGTACTCGATTACCTTACTGCTCTTGTTATTTATATAGGTCCAGATTATAGTGGAACCGAAAAGTTAGAAAAGTGAGGAATTTTGTTTATTCGCTCCATTTGTGCGAATCCTGGTGTTGCGATTTAGGGAGCCACGGTGGCTCAATGCGTAAGGCATTGACTCACTAACCAGGAGGTCCCGGTTCAATCCCGGTGTTGGCGATGTAGTTTTAATCGCGTATTCTTTAATATTATAGTAAGGTTGTTAAATTGAATAATTCATTAAGAAAAAATAAACAATATAATAAAACGTATTTAATATTGGCATCGAATAAATGTTGTTATAGGCATCATTTTAATGTCATTTATTTGAGCAGAAAAAATGGATGGCATAATCTACTATTGGTCGATATTCAATGAAGAAAAATACTACATATAGTTATATATTTCTATATCAATGAATACTCTGAGCCTTTCTTCTTAATCCCACACATTTTATATTCGATTATAGAAATTGATAGATATAGGTGAGTAAGGTGACCTTATAATTATATAGAGGTACATATCATAAATCTTTAGTCATTGGTTAGTATTATAATGGGAAATATAAGAAAGTCTTCCACATGCTAGAAACGTCATAATAAACAGTAAACACCACATACTGGATTTGACTATCATGACATCGCTGTTAAAACTGAATTGTTTTGTTCATATCGATTTTTTTTCACTAATCTGAGAATGGTAAGTCACCTGGTTCATTATTTTTGGTCATTCGATTCGATGAATAACTTAACACTGAATTAGTAATACTTCAAATAATAGTTTGATATTAGTACCAGTGTTACACAGGGATATATGGCGCTCTTGTTTATTTCTGCTACTTCTCCACTCACGGACCAATATAAACTTAAATTCGTTGAAGGTGTGTTCTGATTTAAATGCTATCAACCATATAACATACGAGAATACATTGGCTGCACTAGTTACAACCGCTGTGGACAGCTTTATTTTACACTTGGACAATATTCAAAGATCAACTCCATGTTTATTGGGTTGACGATACGGGAATCTGCAAACGATGTGAATTGCATCAAACCTGTTAAACCCGTTAAGACATTTCAGTTCCAGAATCATTAAGACTAATTATAAACCACAATTATATTGACATTTTTCGAAATAAGCCCCAGTTTAGGTTTAACATTACGCATTTTATACTTGAAGCTCGTATTCTCCAGATCTTCCTTTATCTATTTTTTATTTCTGCATACTATTTTCATGTCTTTGCTCAGAATAATTTTCTATGCTGTGTTCTTGTATCATTTATTATGTCGGGATTTGTCTGTGCAATCTTCACCTTTTATGATACTATTTTTTTCAGTTGTCAATAATAAAACTAGCTTTGTTACTTCAAGGGATGTATCTGGTAACATCAGAGAATTCAATAGTCAATATCATGTATAAACTGGTAAGTCCCGTTCTATATAATTTGAGTGAAATGTACTCCAGTTGATGGTATAGCCTGCTTGTCTCGAGGTTGGTCTCTTTATATATTAAATTCCCAACTATCTTTCCAAATGGTAAAGGGTATCGTACTCTGTGTTTTGCTGGGAAGTTTAGCTGGGGTAATATGATTTTGATTAAACAGGCGACATATTGTTTCATAAGTATATTCGTTGATAATATTTATCTCTTGTTCTTCAGTTTATCCCATTACTTCGATTTTTTTAGGTGCATAAACCCACCTTACAGGGATGTACAGTAACGCGTCCTTTATCTAGATGTTCTCAACGAGCAGGTGCTTTCCAGTTCAATACCAAAGTTCCTGAAATGGAGATGTGTGAACTAAGTGGGCAAAATAAATGTGAAGGTTGCTACCATAATCAATGGTACGATGCGCCGTGTGGACAAGGTAACTATATTCAAGCAATAAACACATGGATATAATATAACAGGAAATGTGACATCAAACAAAATGGAGGTTAGATGATCCCTTGACGCCGACGTTTGCTGGGGATAATTCCCGCATAATATATTTCAAAACATTACCGTCGCAAAACGATGGCGACGTGAAATCAAGCTAATGT